CTGGCTCGCCCCTGGCCCAGGGCTTCCAAGAGCGCCCAAAAATTCAAAAAATCTCTAAAAACCCGATAAAAACTTTACACTCGGGGAAACCGGTCGGTGGTGAGCGCAGGATCTCACGCGCCTGTATCGTGAACGGTTAACGTCGAAAGATTAAAGATGGATAAGAGATGCATTGTAGAGATTGAATTGTCGACGGACAAAAGCTCACGTCTGGCCGCGTCTATAGGTAAACAGCAGATCTTGGTCGACGCTGTATGTATACTGTTACCGTACTGCGGGGTGTTATGGAATCGGATTGACATCCAGGGGTCTGATGTCGAAATCACGCTAGTTATGGCATAACGAGCATAACATGTCTAACCCCACCTGAAATAAGGTGAAGTTTGAATTGTGTGGTGCATATGCGAGGTTTTTTTGATAGCGAGCTCAAGGACTTCGAAGAGGAAGGGTTGCGACACGTTAGCAATGTACATTAATTAAGTCTGAACACCCCTCTTGCACTAAAACCAGGCGAACACGAAAGCAAAGATGGCGACGCTCACTTGACACACTCTCATTTTTATTCAATCGCGTAACTTAAGTTTAGAAGTCCTATGTTGGATCCAGAAAAGTGTATTTTCCTGCATGTGTATCATGAGGTTGGCACGCAAGCAATCATCCAGTTTGTGTGACAAGGCAGATAGATTTCTTCCTGTCTCATTTATTATATAGCCTCGTGTATTTACTGTATCGATAAATCTCGATTGGTGCAAACAGCAGTAACCGCGGTGGCATTTGAACCCAAACTCCTTTCATTTTCATTTTTGAGTGTGAATAGTTATGATTTATTAATTATGATTTATTTATTATTTAATGATTATTAATTAATGAGTTATTATTAATAATTCGAGACGTGGTTCTTTGTTGTTGTGTGTTGTTGTTGTCGTCGATTGTTTAGTTGTTTAGTTTGTCCTTGCTACCAAGCTAGAGACGGCCCTGAACACATAGACTCCTTTCTTCTGCGCCTCTGCATTCGCAAGCATCTCTTCCATGAATGGCTTGCGACAGTCTGCGTCCGGCAAGTGGCTGATCAACGTCACTGCACAACAAACGCAGTCAACACTAACATGCCTGATCCCGATGAGATCGATTACGTGATTGATGACGTCACACAATAGATCGATCAATTGCCGATGTTCGATTGCAGGACTAATAATGCATGCGAGTAGCATGAGTAGTATCTCTTCCTACATCGCCTGATTTTTGTTAAAGAGGTCGCGCCATTTCAGAGTAATAATAATAATAATAATAATAATAATAATCTTAACTATAATCTCGATGTTATAAAACGTTGTAATATCTTATTAATAAGATTCATATATAAGATACTACGAGATTCTTTCCCATTTATTTTCAGAGATCCAATTCCAAGTTCGCGGAAACTATTCATTAGGTAAGCTGGTGCGCATGTGCAGATACGTACAAGCTCCTGTCGGGCTGCCAAACTCGGTGATGAAAATCCCACACAGACCACCTCCGTGCTTCTCCAGTATGCTCTTTGCATTATCCTTCGTGTCAATGAAGGCCTGCGCCCACTTGTTGGGACGCGGGTCTTTGAAACAGTACATGATCATCTCGTAATATGCTGTAAATGATTACATAATAGTTAATGATAATCGCCAATATTAATGGTTAATAATAATAATTAATAATAATGAGTACATGCAGTTACGTATTATACTAGTATTTAAGTAGTAGTAATAGTTAGTAGTAAGTTGCAAATAATTATACAATAATTAACATGGTAATTAAGCTAATAACAGGGGCCGGTTTCACGAAGCGTGATTAACTTTAATTATAATTAAATCACTAATCATGATTAACTTCCCGTAATTATGATTAGTTAATCATACTTAAAAATCTGTTTCACGAAGCGATTTAAGTAAATATTTAACTAATCACATAATTAGCCGATTTAAGTACGTAATTAGCCGACTTAATCATATTCAAAATGGGGGACATTGACGCAACGCAAATGCTAATTCATCCCGAAAATCAACAAATAGCGAAGAAACGCAAGGCGAATTTTACAGCAAGTGAGAAAACATATCTGGCAGACCTCGTCAAGGATAATTTCCACGTACTATTCGGACAATTTACTAGTAACAACTGCAAAAATGAAGAGCGAGAAATGGGAGGAGATCGCCGGAAAGATAAATGCCATAGGTGCGGGAAGCAGCAGAACAGTAGCGGAGTTAAAAACTCTCTGGAACAACCTTCAGATGAAGGCAAAGAAAGCAAATGGCATGCAAAAACGAGAGGCGGAAAAGACAGGAGGCGGACCAGCACCCCCTCTATTAGATGAAACAACAAACAACATCATTGGCTTCATGAATGACAAACCGTTATTCAGCGGCATTCCTGGAGGCGTAGAAACAGGCCCCGCCAGCGATACAAGTACGTTGATTTTATTTGTCTATTTATTGGTATTTAACACTTATATGCTACAAGAACAATTCGGTACAATGCTACAAGTTTTGATTTCCCACACGAGTGTTTATTTCCATGAGTTTGGTATGATTGTTTATGTTTTTATTCATTACGCTATTGTAGGGGTGTCAATGTGGGGAACACACATCAAGGTCACCTTTAGAATTAGCTCAAGTACTATAAATAGCCCTTCGCGTCGCCGCATTACTATTTCCTTTCGCTTCCGAAGCGTCAGCGTCACCGTAAATAGTAAAATAAAAAAAATATTTTCATTTTTTTCACAAAATATAAAGTAATTCTTGCTTCACCTTTTTTATTAGATTAAATTGCTGCATTATACTTACTTATCTTTACTATATGTTCGATGTGAACATACACTGTGACCGTCATCATAGCCTATAGCAGCCAATAATGTCAGCGCAAACAACTTAATATCAAATCGTCAGGTTTTATGGATTTTTAAGCTAGTTGTAGAAACAATTCTTCATCAGGTAAGGAATTTCGACGCATACGTTTAGTCCCGTTAGCTTTCTTACGTAAGTAAATGGCAACAAAAATTTTACCAAATTTTACCATTAGCAAAATTCGTGACAGCGTAGCCAATGAATCTCGTCGTCATGTCAATGTATTTTATAAAATCGTATTAGATGTCTATAATTGACTCATATTTCTCTCATTTCATACGCTCGTAATATAATGCGGCCTCCATGCGTTGTTTTTAGTCATAACAACTAATTATTGATTAGTTGGATTTAATCATGCCCCTGAGGCTATGAATTTATATTGTGATATAAACTTAATCATGATTTAAAGGTTAAATTCAACCTTTCGTGAAAACAGATCACTTTAATTTAAGTTACGATGAAGCTAAGTCATGATTAGTGATTTAATGCATGATATAAGGACTTAATTACGCTTCGTTGAAACCGCGACCCCTGTAATTAAATTTGTTAGTCTTCTTTATCCGCTGTATGGTAAGCTCTGCTAATATTTAATTTACGTGATTAATTTTGTTACGTTAATCATAGCTTAGTGAGGGGACGCCCGGTGCGAGCAGATTGAACATCCCCCCATTTCGCGACAGAACGTTAGTTGACACGCCCGCACACATTGGCGGACGCGGTATATATAACACACCGCGAAGGCTTCAGCACTACATCTAGTCGCCCGCTAGGGTAACGCAAAATCAAGCCTCTCGTAATGCACAGGCAGAGAGAACCTGAAGGCTACCGCAAACAACGAAAAATACGTTTCGGTAAAGGCATGGTATTCGCCACAGGAAACGCCGGTGAGTGTGGTGCTTTAATCCCGCTTTGCTTCGCACGCTGCCGCACAGGTTTTTCCGTATTCGCACCTGTGACGTTGCGACATCAGTGTTCGATCGACCTCAGCAAGCAAGGCGTGTGATCGCTACTCTGGCGACAGGTAAGCTCAGGAAGCCAGTTACGCAACCCTGTATGACTTGGTAAACGCTAGCGACATGTCCAACACCTAATGAAGGCCGCGCGCGGGAGAGAAGGGCAGTATCGTAAAAGTCAGTTACTAGCTAGCCCTACCTGCGTCCACAGCTAGTTATCTAGCTAGCTGTACTCTGATTAAGTAGCGTACTAAGCTAACCCTACCCGATTAAGCTAGTATGAGGCCTAGCCTACTGGCTTCAGCCTGATCTATTAGCGTCGGAATCTACTGTCTGATTAATACTAGTATAGCCTAACCTACCTGATTAAGCTAATTATAGTAACCTACCTGATTAAGCTAGTAGAAGCCTAACCTACAAGATTAATGCTGAGTATATTTAGTTCGTTTACTGGCTTTTAGACGCTAATATAGCTAGTTACCTGCTTGGAGCGCTGAGCCGCACAGCGGGTACGTCGCGCAGGCATGCGGCACACACGGTTGGCATCAGCTGTGATCATTTCTGCCGCATACGCGCCATGGTAGCTCCTCGCAGTTCGGCGTCGGCAGCAGGAACTCTCTTACCCGCCCAGCTCGCACACACTCTTCTTGTG